ATGGAAAGTGGCAAGGGTAAAAAAAGGTGCAGTAATTTTACATCTGATGAAGTAGATGTGCTAGTTAGCTTGGTTGAAGAATTCAAGGGTCTAGTTGGAAGTCTTATGAAGTTATTATGCAGAGAGGCGATTGCATCGGTCACCTGGGTCACAATGCCACAGCCAGAGGTTTTGCTAACACCTGCAAAATCTGCAACTGAATTGAGCATGTTGAATGAAAACGTAAACTTAAGAGCTACTTTGTTGTTGGTGTTATCGCATGATTTCTGTCTCTGGTACTTTGAATTCTATCCTGAATCATTTCTAGAAGCATTTCACATGTACGCTTTTGCAGACGAAACCGTGTAAAGAATTCCAAATCGTCATATTCTTCAAAGAAATTTGACCTGTAAACCATCGAATAGGCATTCTAGTTATGTAAAGCAAAATAACGTCAGCTAACCGACGTCTAAACATTTTCGGATTATGTCCGTTCCCAAACTCATCCCAGTTATCTTCCTCAGAGTCGAAAATATTTATGTTCATTTTGATTTTGATAAAAACACGTGCAGTCAGCTTGACAAGTAAGTGACAAACGAGAACGGCATACAAAGCCGCTACCAATATAGTAGGGGAGCTAGCACGAAATCCACTGAACGAGAATGATCAAAATTTTAACCGATGGAGTTCCATTTTGCCCTATCAGAGAATGCTAAAATCGATCGTCTGCCGCCTCAGGTCATACGACTTAAGGCGCTGCGGGTACTTCTTGTGGTACCAATTCTAAAAGGTTGTTTTTCGAAAAAATAAGTTATACACCTAATGAAAACGTTGATAATAGCTCTTAAAAAAATATTTAAAAAAATCGCGAACATTTGATAACTCCGTAAAAGAACAATTCTTAGTCGGTTTTTCACGAACTTTCTACGGATATAACTAGGTTACCGTTGGATGAATGAAGCTAATTTTTTTTACAGACTAATGATAGGTACTACTAATGACTTAATGGTGTTTCGTTTTTAAATTTTTTAAAGTAGTTAGAGCGCGTTCGGCTGAAGTCAAGTGATGTACTCGGCCTACCTATTACTTACGGTAAACGTCCCCAAAAAAATGATGTTATGAAGGAAACATAATTAGAAATACGGTATGAGTGGTATTTTGTACCTCAGCACAATGCACACAACGTCTTACATGATTTTTAAAAAGGTATATACAGTAGTCAACTTGACTAGTATCCCTACTTTTCGACCCTGTTTCAAACCTTTGCACACTAAATGTTGACGACACACCGCGACTAAATATTCACAGTGTAAGCGGTAAATCCTAAACGAATATATTTATTTTTAATCAAAACGTATGCGAGACGTATGTAAAAGTCGGGAAACTAAATAATTTGGCGTTTGACGTGAAGTCGGTGTAGTGGATTTGGTTTTTCGATGTTGGCGCCAGAGATCCCCAACCGCTATCTTGATCTCGATCCGATCAGTGTGTCAACAAGACGTGTGCATGCCTTTATAAATATCGCTGGTTTTGATGTTCTTTCTGAAAGACACCATGCCTTTTGTGAGGAAAAGTGCTCAGCAAAAGAAGGAAAAGATTGTCCTAGCTCAGCTATATACTAGACCTAGTGGAAAAGTCATCAGATTTAAACGCGTGCTGCATAGCGTGCCGCCGCGTCAGAGCAGACGCCGCTTCGGCGGTAAATATCTTCCTTATTTCATCATGAACATGTACTTTTCCGTGCATATTTAGATTCGTCACAAAATTTCGCTTCTAATGAGACCCATCTCATTTAAGTCTTGATACAAAAACCTTCGCTAGCTCAGAAAAACTGAGTCTGTCCATAAGGGCCCATGTTAAAATACCCTGTTTTACTGTCAAATATCTCAGAAACGGCACATAGGAACACTTTTTTCTTTTGACCATTAGAAAGTGCGTCTCTCAGAGAATAAGTGACCAAATTTTCACCAACTTCTTGTTACTTTTACCTAGGCGCTCTAACTACTTTAATACCTGGTATATCCAAACAATTTCAAAGGGATAACTTATCCGCCATTTTACACCTGGAATAACGCTATTCTGGAAATGTAGAACCAAAATTTCGAATGTTACTCCAAGAATAGCTTATCCGTGGTATATACTAGCATTGTAAAACCGGCCCTAAGTGCATGTACAAGCTCAAATATGACGTACACACTACGTAGTCGCCCAGTTTCGCCGAAAAAAACCCCAAGTACAAGTTAGTCTCCATGGAAATTGATAGCGAAACTGAAGCGACAGCAGCATTTGTAGTGCCGAACAGTGGCAACCTTCTAATGAAAAACAAAAAAATGTAGAAAGCGAAGATGCTGGGTATAACCTCATTAAGCAGAAGCAGAAAACGATAGGTACTATCTTGAAAGAATACAATTATTTTATTAGTTTGTATTTCAGGTATTCTAGCACAGACATGTCGAGTCGATTTTCTAAAGGAACCTTCTGGATTATTCCCACGAGTTCCCGGCACGGGAATTTGAAGAGTACGGGGCTTCACTCTTTAAAAGCTTCGTACCTACACCCACCGGAGTAGCGACCGGCTTACAGTCTGCCATTCCGAATCGCACCTGGAAGTCGTTGATAATTAAACCTCGCTGATACACGACGACTTTACCCCCTATTGCCGATATTAAGTGCCCAAGCGTAGGCTTCACCTCGACCTCTTTCGACAGAAGCTCGCCAATTTCGGAGATCTCGATGGAAAACGCATTACGATGCAGTTACCAATTTACAGCGTTCCGAATTTTAAAGTCAAATAAAAATGTCATTATCCATTTTTGTAAATGAATAAAATATAGGTACAATTGTAAGCTGCCTAAGTATCTTTCTTCGGTATTAAAACCACCAAGGCGAAATACAGAAGAGAGGAAAGATGCCGTGTTTCAAGAGCAACAAGACTCCATTGACATTTTTATGGGCCCTCCCACTGACTTTCGAACAACGTTGCCAAACTTCTCAGCATGGCGTGTAACTATAGACAGCTGTGGTAGAATACCGATCATGCGCACTGTTGTCTGTCTAATCCGTCTAATCGACATTTTAGTGAGTGATATTTCCGTGGTTTAACATAGATTTTACGGCGTTGTAGATCACATTTTCGCGAGTCTAATTTATTTTGTCTTGGTAGTTGTACCATCCACGCTCTCGACCCAAATACTCTTAACTTACCTAGATCATTTCTTCCATAGCATCTTCTTGCTGGTGTAGTACCTTTATTTGCTTTAGTTGGACATTTGTTTATTTCATATGCTAAGCATATAATTGCATGGTCCCAAATTTGTTTTGGTAGCATTGTTTTTGCAAATTTCGTTCGAACTTTATCTATTAGTGTTTGATTCATACGCTCTGATGTGCCATCCTGCTGAGGCCAATATGGCAATGAATACTCTATACTTATGCCTTATGCCAAGTGTAGTGCATTATGTGTGTGTGAGAGGGTGTGTGTGTACGTTTCCCGATATTTATGGCAACATTGTGTGTGAATATGCCTGAACTGTGGCAGCTTCAAAAATTGTGGCAGCATACACGCGCTGTCACAATTTT